TATATAACTCAAATCAAATCAAATTGAAAGATTTTATAAAATAAATTTGACTCGACTCGACTCGAAAAAAATGAGTCAAATAGAGTTAGTCTTTAAACTCGACTCGACTCGACTCATTCGAAACTCTAGGTTAATATACTATAAATATTATAAAAATGTTATCAATTTTTTTTAAAATATTCAAGAATTTGTTTCAAAATTTTCTAGATATCTATCAATATTAGATCTGCTTATTATACATTATCAATTTGTAAATAATTCAAAAATATTTAAAGACTTTAATGTCTATTATAATTAAGTTACTTAAGTATTAATCTAATTAAAATAAAATAATCATTATTATGCTAATGTAAATATTAATTATAAAATTCTTTAATTTTTACTATTTGATATAATTAGTGATCAATTTAAAGATATTTATAATAATAATATTAATATTAAAAATAAGAAAATATAATTATATATATCTTCATTTTAGTTTTATCTTAACTAATTATAAAATACTATTATTAGAAATACTTTTGATCAAATATAAGATAAAAATTGTTTATAATATAATTATAAATAAATAAAATTCTATTAATAAATTTCAAATTCTAGTATATATAATAAAAGTTATACATTAAATAAAATTTTATTTATATATATAAATTATTATTATAAATATTTAAGAAAGAATTATCTAAAGAAATAATTATATAATAAATAAAATCATATATTTAAAAAGATTTATATTGTAACAGAATTATTGTAACTTAATTAATTTATATAATATATTATAAATAGTTACATAAGTAATATAGTTAATATAATCAACTTAATAAATATATTTAATTTATGTAATATAAGAAAGTGCAGATCAAAATGTTAAATATATCAAAATATATTTAATATATAAAGCATGCTGCAACAAAACCAGACAAAGTGAACATTGATATTACCAAGGATTTCAGAGATCAAAATTTAGTAATATGATTATTAAAATCTTCTATTTGTTATCTTAAGTGATATATAGAACTATCCCTATGTAAAAATAGTTAATATGAAACTCATTTATATCAGATCTACTATAGAACCCAAGAATTATAGTACCATTAGAAGTATTTTAAAAAAGGAACAAGGAGAAAAGATTGTACCTTATATTTTCAAAATAAATAATACTCAGACACTGGAAGCTTATCTAAAAAAAGAAAGGATTACTTATGAAATTTACCATGAAAAAAGAAAAATAATAAATATTAAAAAAAGAAAGCATCATGATGATGCATTATTACCTAATAAAAAGCAAAAATCCTTAAAAGGAAAATAACTACTATTTTCTTTGATAGTTGGAATGAATTTCAATTTATACAGAAGGAAATTTCCTCAATTACTTTTTTATTTTTAATCAAGATCATCTTTTAGTCTCTTTGACTTTAATTTGAGCAGTTAATTGACTATTTTGTTGATCTTTTAATTTTCTGTTTTCTTCTTCTAGATGATTAATTTTTTCTTCTAAATTTTTTATCTTATCCAATAACTCTTATTTCTGTTTTTTACTTTACTCTTCAGATTTTTTCTGAAACTTAGCTACTTCTTCTCTATCAATTTTTAATTCTTCTTTGGTAGTTGATAACTCTTTTTCTAGTTCTCTAATTTTATTTTTTAGGTGAAAACTAAAGGCTTATGAAAGTAGTTCTTTGTCAGAAAGTGATTTAGTTAATTTAGCTTTTAAATGACAACAAAAACATTTATTTCTATTCCTTTTTAACCTACCACATTTCTCACATCATGAAAGAGTATTATTATCATAATCTTTTTTACAATCATCACAGATAAAAACAATATCAGAATAACTATTAGGAGTATTATGAGCCACCATTTGATGAGTAGCAGGAGCAGTATCAAAATTAAGGAGAGTTGGGTCATCAAAATCTAGAAAACAGAAGTTACACTCTTGCTCATTTCTCTGGGCTATTTTCAGAATTCTATATTCTAATCTCATATTAGCTTATTTGTTCTTTTGAACCCATTGTAGCATTATGCTTCAACACAGTTTCAAACATTTGTTATTTTCTCCATTCCATAGCTTTATTTAGTGCTTTTTCAGACTCTTCTCGCTCCATTCATACTTCATTATCTAACTCTTCTACCTTTGCTTCCAATTCCTCCTTTTTTGCCTCTAACTCCTCAATTTTTTTTTCATAGTCTCTCTTCTGTTCATAAAGTTTACTATTAGTTCTGCTTCATTTTCCAACATAGTTTAATCATTCTGAACTTAGTTTATTAGAACTATCAATGAAACCTTCTAACATTTCTTCAATAGTAATATTATCAAAATAAATTCTTTTACAATTCTTAGCTCATTCTCTAGTTTCATTAGGATCTATTGCCATTCTTAACTTACCTTCATCCATTCACTTTTTGTTTAGACTTTTGTATCATCTTGTTCCTGTAGGAGCATACATGCTAACTTCACCCTTTTCATCAAGAGACTGACTAGTAACATGTCAAATTTTTAACTTAAGATTTCTTCTTTATCTGCTAATTGCTTCTTTAAATTTTCATTTTCTTTCAATAATTGTTTATTTCTCTCTTGAAATTCATTTATTATGTTTATCATGATTTTCTTTTTTTTATTTATTTTATTTATTTGCTCTTTTAATATACTAATATACTTATAACCTTTTTATGAAGGCATATTAAGTATATAAATTATTTTAGTACTTTTTTACTTTAAAACTAGCAATATTTATCAAAAAATCAAACTTATTAAACTTAATGACAGTAAAGGACAAATTAACAAGTGTGATAAAGTAATGAAGGTGTTTTTGTTCTAAATATTTTATTTGTTATCAGTATAGAATGGTCTTAGACAAGTAATATCTTTATATTCATCTTTCACAAATAGGCGAATATTATTATAAAGGTATTCTTGCCTTTTGTAATCTAAAAGAGGTAGTGTTAATACTAAAATAGATAAAGCTCTAATTTCTTCAAAAATATCTGTTTTCTTTGTTTTCAATAAATTAAATTCAACAAAAGGTCTATTAGCAATTTCCTGAGCTTTGACCATACCAAGATTAGTTGCTTCAAAAAGAAAATGTTGATATCTCTGGATACTTGGTAATTTCTTAAAATAAATTTCCAAAATAACCTTAATATCTAAGTATTGAAAACTTTTTCTACCTTCATAATATTGGGCTTTATTCAATCCTACTGGGCTAGACTTTTTTATCACTTCAACCACATGCTTTAGATAATCTACTCTTGTTCTTCTATAGAGTTTTTTAATCATACCAAAATTACCATTACATTTGAATTTGGTATATTCAGAAATCATGAAATTTAATTCAATACTTTTATAATATCCACAAATTACTAAATATAAATAAAACTAAATTATTACATTATTTTTATTCTGTTTCCCAACATTATTACAAGTAATCTTTAAATATTTTTCACCTTTATTCAATCTCTTAATTCCATTAAAAATTATACTAAGAGTGCCATTAGGTCCTTTTCCTATAATTTCATTTTCATTAAGAACATAATTAATTTGCACCCTTATTGCTTCATCTTGAATACTAAATAAATGAACTTTACATGAACTAAGGTAATAGATTTTACTTACTTGTTGATCTAAATGTGATATATAAATATTTTGGGTTCAATCATAACTATAATGTGCAGTGGCATTAATACTGTAATATTGTGTTTTATTCTTTGAATAATTTTAGTTAACTAGTTTTCTTTATTCTTTTGCTAATTTGGTATTTTTATTATAATAATTTCTTTCTAATTTGGCTTTAGATAAATGTTTTTTAAATCTTTTGAGTAAATCTTTAGCTTTTTCTTCTTGGCAAGCATTATAATGTAAACTATCTCTAAAATGCTGACAAGTATCATACAAGTCAGTCCTTGGACTCATAATTTGAATCTCTGATATCAATTAATGTCATAATTTTCTGAAAGCATCATATTTTAAGGATTTCAACTTGTTATCTTCTTCTAAACTAGCAAGAAAATCTCTATGTACTGATTTATAACTCATTTCAGCTGGTAAGAATACAATTGATTGAGTTATTTTATTGATACTTCTGCCTGGACTTGGCAATCCATGAACTTCTGCATAATTTTCTAGAAAATTCTTTACTACTTCTACAACATTTTTATCAATCACCATTTTAGTTTTCCATTGAGGCATTCTTTTAATATTACCATGAATTTTTGGTAGAAAACCATTATTTATCAGATGATTTCTGATATTTTCAAAATAAATTCTGCCAATTTCTAACATATTGAGATAAGTTTCTTGACAAAGAAGTATATTGTGATCTCAGTGATAGAAAATTCTTTTATTAGATCTAGTTTTCTTTTTAAGGCGTCTGCTGATGTTTATTAATTTCCCATTCATGGCTTTAAGTTAGGCCATTAAAAATATGTCTTGTTTTATTTTAGAAAGGACTTGAAAAGATTCCCTTAATTCTGCAAATTCTTCCTTGGGAATTCTTGAAAAACAATCACAATCACAACCTTTTTCTAAAAAATCAATTGCTTTTTGATATTCATTAGAACCATTGTATTTATTATCTTTATTAATATTTTTCATATACACTTATCCCTATATATACAATTTTATGTTCACTTTATAAGTTTTTATATGTAAGAGTCTATCTCTTATTTTTCAAATTTAACTTAGAAGTCAAATTACTTCTAACAATCAATATTTATTTCTGGAAAATAATTATTTACTACTTCTTTTATTCATTTATGTTTTATTGATCTTTTTATTCATATATATAAATTATAATAAATAAATAAATAATAATATAATTATATGTGAAATAAATTAATGCTCTCCAGCATTATCCACTTTCACTAATTAACAATTAATATAATATGAATATAAATAACATGTAACTCTTTATTCATAATAACTAATTAACATAACTCTGATACATGAATGTATGTGTTACATTTGTGGTATTCTCAAGTTATGACCAAAATAAACAATAAAATAAGAATAGAACAGCCGCAACAAATATTGTCACAATTTAACAATTATTATATTATAATTTTTTTTTAACAATAGTAAATAAATATATAATACTTGAAAGCATTTTTCAAAATTAATGTTTACATATAACATCTTTATATTCATTTGTGAATAAAGAAAGACACAACTACTTTTACTAAACTCAATCATCTATTAAAAAATGTACATTTACTAGTATGAGATCATTTACAAAGGGTTATCATTTAAAAGTTTTTTATAATACAAAAAGTAACTTCTTTTCAGCAATTTAAAATTAAATTAATTAAATTTAAAGACAACATAATATCTTTATCTTTAAATAAAGAAAAAAAAATTTTTTTTCATGTAAGATGGTAAAGATGTTATATTATTATTATTATTATTATTTATTTGAATGTGCGCATTTATAAATTTGTGTGTAACAAAAAAAATTTCCATAAAATCAAAATATGATCGACGAAAATTAACCAAATTATATTGCGGGCACGTGAAAAGCACAGGGGACAGGCGAATTTCGCAGATCCCTGTCCCCTGTGCTTTTCTAGTGTCCCAAATTATTGTTTTTTTTATTGACGCGATTGATTTTTTTAAAACAATATATTTTTTACATATCATAGCAACTTTAGAATAATATTTTATGCTGTAAAATAATACAAAAACGCATATAACAACATCTTGTCAAAAATAATCAATCAAAATAATTTTCATTCTAAATAAAAACTCTACGCAAACTTTTTTCTTACGTTCATGTTTATTTTTCGTCGTCTTTTCGCGTCAACTATCCAACCTTCTTTGAAACTTCCTTTGAACTTTCAAGATGCGATCTTTTTTGAAACAGCAAAAGATTATTTTTTAGAGACTTTTCGGGAATATAAAGCTACAAAAAATGAACGTTTTAGTCCTTCTCAATATGGAATATATAAGCAGCAATTACAAAAACTTGCAGGTTTAGAAGAACTCCAGTATAAATGCTACAAAGGAAAAGCTCAAACTGCATTAAATGTCTTTGAGGTAAGGACAATTTTCAAAAGTCCTCAGCTATTGCGTTCTTTGGAAGCTGGCGGATCTAATCTTCTGAAGGAAGGTTTCTGAAACAAGCTAGGAGCTTACCTAGTTTCTAAAAGAAGCTATCCTTTGTTAGAAGAAGTTTCTGAAAGGAAGCTAGATCTTGCTCAATCTTTTAGAAGGTTCTAAAGAAGGAAATTTGAAATAGTCTTACTGGGAATATTTTCTCATTATTAAACTTTTTATTATTAGAGCCAGCAAAGAATACGAAAAAAAGAAAAGAAAAAAAAATTAAAAAGTAAGCTAAAAGAAAGTCAACACAAAATAAGAACCAAAACATTGCAAAATGCAGAGCCTGATCAAAGATCACTCAATGATACTGTTAATACCATAACTAAAATTTTGCGAAATGCAAGACCTGATCTAAGACAAATCAACGACACTGTTAACATCATGCCTCTCAAAGATCGTGACCTTCAAAAACTCATCGACGTGATTAATAATAATATTCGTAATGCTACACATGGTAAAGATATCTCAAAGGAACACTATCAATTTCTAGTTTGTGGAGGAACGGCTGGTATCGGTAAATGAAATTATCTTACGCTTACATTAGTTTACTTTAACAAGCAACTGAAACCTTCTAATTAATTGTATTCTAGGCAAGACACGACTAGGGCTGGAAGTTTTTAACATTTTGCAACATCACTGGACACCGCCAACTGAATGGTCAAGCAATGGTTCAGTTCATACCAAGTACTTGCGTCTCGACTTTGGAAATGATGTGATATTAGATGTTTATGATTACGATATATCTGCATCGATAATTATTGGTATACGTATGGCCTATGAATTTTTCATTAAAGGAAAATATGATATTCAGTTTCGTGAGTTTCGCCATGAGGCTCTCAAGAATAAGGACAATTTTAACATTGATTTTGTAATCACTGCTATCAGAAGTTCTCTATGCCTTGAAACAGGTCAGCGTCTTTTTTTGTTTATCCATATTGATGAATTTCAAAAAATTATCAATTTTGACGGTTGGAATGCAGATACAGAGAAACCATCAAAAGGACTATTCAGATGTATGATGTATGAACTTGGGCGTTATATGACATATCAGAGTCCACAGTGTATCTTTGTACAAACATTTCTTTCTGGGACGGAACCACACAGTATAATACGAGCAAAAGAACCCACATCGTACTCTTGGTATTTTGCCGAATGTCCATTGTTGTCAATGGCTGCACGTATTCAGATTATGGAACATTTTGTGGTACATTACGACTCTTCTAATGATTGGAAATTGAAATTGTGGATTCACCAATTGTTGTCGGATACTGGTGGCCTTCCACGTGCTCTGGAATATTTATTAGAACATTTTTTTGGTGTAAATTATGATCGGATACAATGGTTTTTAGATGAAATTGACAAACATAACCCAAACAACTTTTTTAATGGAATTGCATTTGATCTCGACAAACGGTATGCAGTGACAACATTTGCTGAGGAACGGCGAAGCCTTACTTGGGCACTTATACATTATTGTATTGGGTCGATCCCGGTAATGAAAACAGATATTCCTTCACAAGAGTATCCTGGCGAAACATTCGAAGTATTGGAACGCGATAGACATCTTGTTCTTAAGTATCGTGGTGAAAATAAATATGTTTAAATTTTTCTGAATAATCTAATTTCTGAATTCTTATACTATAGCCTATAGCCTTATCTCGAAGCCTATTAATATACTGGATCATATAATAACTATTAGCATGCTTTCTATAAAGGTTGAGTTCAGAACTTATTAGCTTATCACAAACTTTACAAGAAATGCACTTTTTAGCTTTCTAATATTCATAACACTTTCAGGCTAATAGCAGGTCGATCTATAGATCTTTTCTATTTTGAGTAAATAATTATAAGTATACTCACCTTTTATAGTAGTAAGAAATAAATATTTTATTTTATACAAAAGTTTTTGCTATATTAATACAAATATCATATTCAATACTTGCACAAGATGATTAACTATAAAGACATTGAATTAGCATTAGTTAAGGTAATCAAAGTAGTATATAGCTAAGATACAAAAAAATATAATAAAATGGGATTAACATATGTAGATTATTTGAAAATAATGTGATATAAAAAGGATCTAGATGATTATTGCAGATATGTAGCAAAGCAACGAGCTTCAAATGAGGAAGTCTATAATGAATAGCAGATTTTAAAGACTGGTATAATGAAGAAATATATCAGAGTCTTAAAAAGTTATACAAATTATATCTCTTATTCACAAACTAAGAAGAAGTTATGCAAAAAAGATCTATAAAAAAAGTAAACAAAATGCTTAAACTTCATGAATTAGAAATTTAATTCATGAGCACTTATTGTGGTAGTAATTCTGTGTCAGAAGGTATGATTTAAAGCTTCTCTCTTATAAAAAATCATTTTATATCATTGCCTTTATCATCTATTAGCCAGTACAAGACCGGCTAGTTTTTTTGCACTAAAAATTTGCAGATATGATAAACCTGAGAAAACCAATTGCAATCAATTGCGCATTTTCTTCCATATTCTAATTTACTAGGATTAAGCAAATATCTAACTAAAATATCATAGGATAATCTAGACTCATCAAACTTAATAAGTTCTTTTCGTAACTTGAAGACTTTAGCAAATATATGCTCTTTTTTTTAAGCTTTAGCAGGAAAAATACCTAGAAGTTGAGTCATAGAATTATTAAGCTCTATAAAAAAAATTAGAAGATCTTTTACCCAAGCTTAACAGCGTTTAGTAGAGGTTATCTCATTTCAATATCATCTTAAATAAAAATGCTTACTCCTGAAGTATACAATTAAATCTCTTAATAATACCTATAGATTCTTTAAAATTAGTTAACTGAATTTCAATATTATGCCTATCTATTAATTTGATAATATTCCTTTAAAATTTAACACCTATATCTACCATTAAAACTTTAACTTTAAACTAGTCAATTAGACATATTTGAGATTTAAAAAGTTTTTCAAATCCTTTAGCCACACTAGCAGAATTACGTTTAGTTAAAGGATACAGTCAACTCTTATTATAACAAATTCTATGTTCTAGACCTTAACTTCGCTATAAGGTTATAGTAAAGATTTTAAGAGATTTGATTGGCTAATTCACTGTAACAAGAGTATTTTTATTATATTTGTTCAAAAAATTCATTATATTAAGAGTTCACTATATCAAGAGTTGACTATAAGTTTATTTAATATAAGTAGCAATATCTACACAATTAAGTGTAAATTTATAAGTTTTATTTCCAATTCGATCATAAGGCATATAGTATAAATTAGCTTGAATAACTTCTATAGGTATAGTAATATTATTAAAAAATGCTTATGGAATGTACTCAAATTGATGCTTATAAATCTAATGTAAAGCCTGCTTATTTAGCCATTTTTTATTATGGCTAAAGTAACTTATATTCTATCTTTTTACAAACATCTCACATTTTTTCAGTAGTCTAATAATATCTCTCAGGTTAATAATAAAGTTTCTGCAAAATAAGATCCTGGTTAAGATCATGCACTTTTTGAAAATCGATATAAATAACCAGTTTTTCCATTCCAATTTTTTTATAATTATGAAAAAAAAGATAATATCTATAAAGTTTAATTTTACTTATTAGCTGATGCACATTTTTTACGCTTTTGCTTTACCTCTATTTTCTTTTGCAGAGTATCAAACCTTAGGTGGATTGTAAGGGGATCATCTTCTGACCTAGTGAGATCAAATACAATAAATTCACTTCTTCAAAGGTAGCAATTAATAACCATAAATGCATTTTTCATATCATTAGTATAATGACTAGCTATCTTAAATACATCTTGTTAGCTACCACCACTGTTATATATTACTAGGTAGGAGATATTCTCACGAAAGAATGTAGAAACTTTATGGTATTTTTTAATTATATATACTTAAAATATTTCGATGATGTCTATTCCCAAAAAATTAGTCAATTTAATTTGCATATATTCAGAAGTTAAGTATAGATTCTTGAAAATAATTACTGTGCTTCTTTCAAGTAAGAATGCTTTTGTACTAGAAATTCTTTCAAGTGAAATATACCTAAAACTAATATTCTTATAGAAAGACACTTTTGGATCCTTTGAAATTATATTATATATATATTTTACATATATCCATTTTGGCTTATTAGAATGATAACCATATACAATTAAATCATTACAACAAATATATCTAAATCCACCTTTCTTTTCTTTTGTATATATTTATTCTTATTACCAAAAACAAGATTTGCAAGTAAATTAGTCTTACCTGAACTGCTTTTCCCTGTGACCAATATGCTAAAAGGCTATATCATTGCTGAATGGTCAATATTTTATGATGATTCATATTTTGTGACTTTATTCATATCTAAAAGATGAAATTTCATAGGAAGTAGTCCTATCTTTTGGTTATTCTGGATATTAAATTAGAAATGCATAACCTTGATTTTTATTTAAGGGTATTTTATAGTTCAGAATATTTTTTTCTTCATTATAAGATGAATATAGATGAGAAAATATATACCATAAGATGTATATAATTAGTAATATTATTATAAAAATGATTGCATATTAAAAAAATAAGAAATAAGGTGATTCTGAGATTGTTTCAAGGTTAGTAATTTCATTATCTTTCTTTAGTCATTTATTACCTCCAATTACTTCAGACTCATTGTATATGTTTAGGATTTGCTTGGCTAAATAAGTATTAGCTTCTTAAAGGAAGGAGTCTTTTTCTATTAATACCTTTGCGCTGAGGCAAATTATTCTTCATCTGCATTAATTCTTTTTTTTTATTCATCAATTCCATTTATATTGTAGTTAATTCATCCCTCAATCACATTAATTCACCTTTTTTGCCTAATTCTTCTTCCTTCAAATATAAGTTAATATTCTTTAGCTTAATATTTTACCTAATCTACGCTAATTTTCGTCTAAGAGAATCTATTTTTGATAAGTCTTTCTAAGCTAATAAATACTTCATCTCTAACTTTTTTATTTTCGATTAGAGAACTTATATAAATATTTTTATAGGTGATCTAATTTTTGAGCTCTTTCACTTCATCTTCAAACTGATATACATGCTCTAAAAGCCTTTTATTATTTTTTATTAATAGATCACATTTACTACCAAGCTGATTACTACAGTTTATAGCAATTTTTTGATCTCAGTTAGAAATTTCTCATTCTTGTCAAACATTTAAAAGGTTCAAGGTGTCTCTAAGCTAAATAAAAATCAGTTATGTATAAAGTTATATGAAAAGGCATATATTATTCCAACTTTTAGTAGGCTCTAGTAGTTAAGAATCTGTTAAAAAAGGATCAGAAATTATTATATAAAGTGTTTTTCAACTCTTAGGTTTCTGTTAATTCTTCTAGCCTAACTAGTGAGAAGAACTTAAAAAAAGTGCAAAAAGCTTGAAAAGCATCTCTTAAAAATTGAAAAATGGCTTAACTTAGCATTAAATATAGGTAAAATTCTAGCAAAAAGATATACTTAGCTTATAGAGATAAGAATGGATGTATAACAATTTTTCCTATAATTAATAATTTTCTAAGATCAGATTCCCATCTAGATGTACCATTTTTTTTCTATAGAAAATCCACTTTTTAATTTTGTATTAATCTTTTTTCTGACTATTCTATCTTTTTACCACTAGTTACTATATTCAGGTTAATAGAATTTTTACTATTTTGACTAATGTTTTCTGCATGAATACTCTCATTTTCTAGTATATTAATAGAAGAGAAAGAAGTATCAGCGTTGCACTGTGATTCTAAGAAGACTTGCTTTATATCTTCTAACTGTAAAGATTTTTAATTATTTTCTAAAGTCTGACTAAAGATGTTAATAAAATCTATAATTTTACGCTATTCTTTTATTAGTTCAGGAGGTCTCTTATTATTAATAATTTTTTGATATGTTGTTGATCCTATATGATATTTTTTACATATAATACGTCAATTACCTAAATATTATTTTGAGCATTTCTGATTTCTTCAATAGATTCAAATGAAAAGTAGGTAGCATCTGATCTAAGAAATTTAGTGACAACAGAAGAAATTATAACTTCAAATATCACGTGGGATCTGTTAATCAATAATGATCTCACATTAGATGATGTCACTGCTATACCAAACAGTAATCAGCAATAATTTTTATTTCATCTATTATGCCTGTTTCTTCTGTACTTTTTGTACAATCTATTTGTTCTATTCTATCTGTAATTTCTTTAACATCTGTAATTTATTTTATTTCTTTTTATTACTTTATAATTTATATTATTTTTATTATTTTATTATATTTAAGTATATTTTTATTGAGACATATATCTATATTTTTAATTTATAGCATAGTAAGTAGTTAGCCATAGCAAATTAATTTTGTATAAATAGAATAACTTTTTGCTTAAGTTGTAAATTAACTCAGTTGTAAGTTTATAAATTCATTTGTAAGTTACTTACGAATTTCAATATTATAAATAAAGGAATCAATTTAAATCCATACAAACTACTTTTCCCTTCAATATTATTATTTACCTAGGATTGTTGTGATATACTACACTAACTTGCTATTGAGTTTATCATTACGAGTTTGATTAAATATCTTAAA